TGAATGTAATGGATTCGATTGCAATTCAAACTCGCTTCCCTCGAGCTGCTACCCAATACTCTACACTATATATATATATATATATATATATGTGTGTGTGTGTGTGTGTGTGTGTGTGTGTGTGTGTTTTAGTTTATGGTTACATCCAGTAGATTGTTTTCGCTTATTATAATATAAATACAGTTAAAAACGATATCCTTGCTAATGGCTGCTAGACAAGCCAAAAGAGTTCAAATCTACAGATCATTGGAACAAATTTTACAAACTCTATCTCCAGTAAACAAATCACTTGTATGAATGCAATAAAAAATATTAAAGCTTAATAGTAATGACTTATTTGTCGTCTTTAACGTAACTTTCAAATGTTAGTAAAGACAACAGACATTTTGTGTCGATTAATTATTTTGACCGATTTTTCAAAACTGCGAAAAATAATTCTCAGATAAGTACAAAGTTCCGCCAGAAGTTCTTCAAAGTTAATTTTGGTAGTAGTATTTTCCAACATCAGGATAGGTAGGAAAAAATGCTGAGTTTCGTAGAAATGGTGAGTGTAGAATTGTAGGCAAAGAAACTGGTGACATATTCAGCAATTCTGCAAAACTTGACATTTGTCTCTAGCTACCCTGATGATGACTGAAGTTAGTCGAAAGCTTTGCACTATATTTCTTCCTGAAATGATGAACTTTGGAAAAGTTCTGGAGGAATTTCTTCCTTATCTGCGAATAATTATTTGTCACTTAAAAAGCGAATCAACATAATTAATTGACACAAAATATCTGTTGTTTATAATAACATTTGCCCCAAAATACAAACACACACACACTGGTATATAAATATATATATATATATATATATATATATATATATATATATATTGTTGTCGAGTAGTTTCACAGTGGAGGCTTCTATTTCACTAAGTCGGTTCTGAAATAGGTTCGACGTACAAAACGTTACGAACTTAATATAATAGTTAATGAGGCAGCAATCTAGTGGTGGTGGTTGATACTTTAATGTCCGACATCGACTGACTAACCAACTCACTGAGCGGAATTTATTCACCCCCCTACGAGGGCATCATGTGGCACAAGGCTGGTTTAACGTGGGATCTCTGAGCCCGTGGGTTCGGCCAAAAATATGCCCTTTTAAAACCCGTATAAACGGGTTCAGGGACGGTTTACCTCCCCGAAAGAGACTCCACCCTTCGGCGTAGCCTCGTTCGGGTTCCTCCCTGCCCGAAGGCAGAGAGTTCAACCGGTCAGCCAGTCGTCCGACTTCAGACTGAAATCAGACCAACTCACTGAGCTCACTGGCGACTACTACTTGTTATATGTGGGAAATTCTATTAACAATAGAATAGATATGTTCCGGAATAACACACACACACACACACACACACATATATATATATATATATATATATATATATATATATATATATATATGCATGTTTATGTGTGTGTGTATGTGCTCACTCTGTGTATGCGTGCGTGTTTTGCTGTTTGTGCTTACCTCCAGTAGATTGCTATCGTTTATTATAATTATTAGATTTTCTAGTGCATTTCAAGCAGACTATATATTTTTTTCATGAATTTCGAACGACTTTAGGAATGTAATATTAATTTGTTTCTGTAAATCTTAAAAGCATATAATGCCATCGGCTTTAAGATAATTTTAGTTATTCTCTACGCCCTGATGAGAGATGTACTTGCGTGATTAAGGTCTGATACTGTACTCAAGTGACTTTTATTCAGTGCAAATAAAACTGGTTTCACAAGTCATATCCTTTTTGATAACGATTTTGAATTGCTACAACTAACATCAGTTCAGACTTCTCAACGTTGTTCTTACAAACTCGTTTGCGATTATGGCGCTCTACAACTTCCTGTCTTTTGTTGCTCAAAGTAACTTTTCACTCTTTACCATACTTCTTTTTCATGTTACCCCATCCATTAACACATACTCGTTAAATATTTTAGGCGGTTCTTCCCCATGCTCGAATCTTTTTAAATAATCATTTACCACCAAACCAGACAATAAAACTTCTTAGACACAAATGGTTACCGATTATGAGAGAATATGAGAAAAAATACATTATAATGGAAAGAGAAAATTAAAGAATAGTCATTATGAAGACGCGAGATAACGCTTGGCTTTGCATATAAATTTTTCAAGATCAAAGTTGAATAGGTATCAAGAAGCTGTATGAGAGATTCACGAGCGAGAATTGCAAGAGAAGACATTGTTAGCATTGAACTTACGGTTTCATTTAGCCATTTCAAGATTAAAATAATGAGACTTTGTCACCAATCTAATACAACAGTTAAATTCATAAAGTCTAGGTAATATAGAGGAAAGTTCATCAGAACTATTGACTGAAACTTTTATAGAAAAGGTACAGGAAACTACGTTACGGCGGTGGGAAAAATGAATGAAAACGAGATGCCAGGACAGGACCAATAAAATTGCAGATTTTTCTTTTTTTATCTTATGTCCTATAGGTGCAATATGCTTCCGACATTCATTCCTCATGATGTTTTCCATAATTTTAAGCTGAGAATTGTGAGAGAAGAAACTGTTAGCATAGAACTTGCGGTTACATCTAGCCATTTCAAGACTAAAATGATGATATCTTGTTACCAATCTAGTACTGCACTTAAATTCATAAAGTCTAGGTACCATAGAGGAAAGTTCATCAGAACTATTAACTGAAAACTTTTATAGAAAAGGCACAAGGAAACTACGTTACGGCGGTGGGAAAAATGAATGAAAACGAGATGCCAGGACAGGACCAATAAAATTGCAGATTTTTCTTTTTTTATCTTATGTCCTATAGGTGCAATATGCTTCCGACATTCATTCCTCATGATGTTTTCCATAATTTTAAGCTGAGAATTGTGAGAGAAGAAACTGTTAGCATAGAACTTACGGTTACATCTAGCCATTTCAAGACTAAAATGATGATATCTTGTTACCAATCTAGTACTGCACTTAAATTCATAAAGTCTAGGTACCATAGAGGAAAGTTCATCAGAACTATTAACTGAAAACTTTTATAGAAAAGGCACAAGGAAACTACGTTACGGCGGTGGGAAAAATGAATGAAAACGAGATGCCAGAGCAGGACCAATAATATTGCAGATTTTTTTTCTTTTATTCGGTATGTTCTATGGGTGCCATATTCTTCCGACACTCATTCTTCATTATGTTTCCCATAATTTTAAGCTGCCTCATTCTGATTGTGAGTGTCAGTCGTTTTCTCGTTACTACTTTTTAAAGTTTGTTAATATCTATCTGTTTATCTATCTATCTATCTATCTATCTATCTATCTATCAATTCAATTTCTCTATCACTTTGCTTCTATCTATCTATCTATCTATCTATCTATCTATCTATCTATCTCTTTTCTTCTAATTAACTATCTCTTTGCTTTTATCTATCTCTTTGCTTCTATCTATCTGTTTATCTATGTCTTTGCATCTATCTATCTATCTATCTATCTATCTATCTAACTGTTTGATTCAATTTCTCTATCCCTTTTTCTATCTATCTATCTATCTATCTATCTATCTATCTATCTATCTATATCTTTGCTTCTAATTAACTATCTCTTTGCTTTTATCTATCTCTTTGCTTAGAAGCAAACCTAACCCTAACCCTAACCCTCTATTTGTTTATCTATGTCTTTGTTTCTAATTAACTATCTCTTTGCTTTTATCTATCTCTTTGCTTCTATCTATCTATCTATCTATCTATCTATCTATCTATCTATCTATCTCCAAAGAGTGAAGGTAGTTAAAAAAAAAATGTGACATAGAAGAAAATGTCCTATGGACACAGTGTATTATTGCGTGCACGTTAGTACGTGTTTCCGAGTTTTCTATTCTCATATAAATCTCGCTTAATGAAAGATTATAAGTTTTATATAGGTTTAATATCCGGAGAGGTTGGTTTCTTTGAAACTTGTCATGATTATGTATGTATTAGTCAGCTTTTCAAAATATGAAAGGAAATTCTTGCCTTTAGAGTTAGAATAACGACTTGTCAAAAAGAATTTTGTTCTCAATTTAAATGGCCAATATCATCAGGTGTGAAATTACCTAACAGTATAGCGCATAACTTATTAACCCAAAACAACATAGTGTCACATCTGTCTGAAAGGTAACGGGACTGGGTGTGATGTATGTGCTATGGTCAAAAGAGGGATAAGCTTATTTTTTTTATCGTCTAACATTATATCTTGGGAATATGTAACTGTAATCTTAGCTTTCTGCAACCATTGCAATTTTTTAGAGTTAGTTGTGGCAGGTCAAATCGTGACTGCTTCACTATGACAATGCACATGATCACAACGTGCTGAGCATTCGTCAGTTGCTGAGTGAAAATTATATCGCCGTACTGAACCATTTCCCTGTTCACCTGATCTTGCTTCGTGTGACTTTTTTCTTTTCTCCATTGTCAGGGGACACGTTTTGAAGGCGTGGAGGCAATCAAGAAGGTCGTAACGACGAAGATATAGGGCGTCCTAAAAGAAACCTTCCAGCAGCGCATAGAAGCGTGGTAGAGAAGGATGGAAAAGCGCATTATACTTTTCAAAGGAGAAACCATGTAGTTGGTTGTTCAGAATTGGAATAAATTGTTTGGGACACCAGACCCGTTACATTTCAGACATTCCTCGTAGCTGTTTACTGTCTCCTAATTTGAGTTGGTTGACATTCCACAGAGGAAAGATTATCTATCCCAGCCATAAGTTCCATCCAATGCAGCTCTACATTCATCGTTAAAAATTACTCTTGAATCATTTATTTTTATTTTACTTCTTGGCTCGAATTAAACGTTTCCATACTCCAGGTTCTATGTCGTATTTTTTGTTGCTGTCACATCTTCGGTCAATATATTTTATTATTCCACATATTTTCTCTATGGATATATTGGTAACATCAACCTGATCCCAATGCATGACTTCTATAAAGAAAATGCGAATGCCAGTGTGTCACAGTGTCACCGAAGTTAAGCATCGTAGAGCCAGGTCAGTACTTAGATGGGAGACCGCTTGGGAACACCTGGTACTGTAAGCCCCCAAAGTCCAAACCTTACCTCACAGTCGGTGGGGGGGGGGTGTAAACGGTAGTGTCAGAGCTATACCGTCGGGAACTTCGTTCCTGGTAGGGCCACCCAAGCCGGACAGGTCTGACACACGCCGGCTAACAAGGGCTCTGGTGAAAATCCAAGGAGCGTCTGCATCGGCAACCGGCGGCTTCTGGTCGTTCCTGTCTCTGCGTCTGTGGGAACCCCGCGTCAAGCAAGAACGTTATCCGAGTAGGCCTGGGTACCCTACTTCTGTAATTTATCCCAAGAATCTTCTTCTCACAACAGGAAGAAGCCGGCTCAATCCGCCCAGGGTGAATGCCGCATCACACACACACACACACACACACACACACACACACACACACACAGTGTCACACATTTACGGCTTTGCTTATAGAGGACGTAGCCCAACATATCATACCATATTGGAATCACAAGAATTCCGTGAGCAAATTAAAATCATTCCAGGCCAGATCCGGAAGCGCATTCCTGAAATTTTGGATACAGATTTGATTACTCCGATTGTTTTCAGATTCCACATCTTGGACACAACTTTCTAACTTTCAATAGGTTATGTTCAAATGAAAAAAAAAATCTGTTCTGAAATTTTCGACTTCACTCCTAAAGGCCATAGTGCAACATAACGCATTTTGGAATCAGACCGACCGACACCATGAGCAAACTAAAAACATTGCGGGCGGGATGAGGACCCGAAATTTTGGATTCCCAAGTTTTCATTAATTCGATTGTTTTCGGAGATTTTTTACGTGGATTTTTACGACGAATTTTTTTTTGTATGATAACAATTATTATAATTTGTTTAATAAATTTAGGAATAATCGAAATTAATTGTAAAATACAGTAAAAGTCACCCATGTAATAAAAATAATTGTTTGTATGAAAAGAAAAGAACCTACGTACATCAAATTGTCATTAAATTAATTGGAGGCAGAAGAATTATTGTTGAGCTTTTAAAAGGTAAGCTTAAATATTAATGCAATGCAGCGATCAATTTTGAGTTCTTCTGTATTTTATTGTTTCCTATCGCATCTACACCTCCCTAACTATTGTGATGAAGGTTCAGTTAATATCCTTCAGCAGGAACTAGCTTAAATGCTGCCCGACAGTACGTCTTTAAAGTTAGTATTTAATAAATAAGGATGATTGCTCTCTTTTCGCTGTCAATATCTAGGAATATCTCCTCTGGCTCTTCTTTTTATTATTGCTCATTTACATCTAGTCTGATTCTGTACTATCGGCCCACGGATTGGCATCACAATTTGTATAAAATCAAATTTAATCCTCCTAAGATATTGAGTAGTACAGACAAAAAAGAAGGCAAGATGGTCTTAGACATGAACTGGATGAGAATAATAATAATTGGGAGTTCAATGTCCAAAATCATACTTATTATAAAACCCAGGTGTGTGTGTGTGTGTGTGTGTGTGTGTGTGTGTGTGTACGTTTATATATTGGATCGGATTTCCTACATTTTTCAACCGATTTCAACAAAACTTCACAGGACTACGTAAAATTACCTTACGGTGGTTCTGACAGCGCCAAAAATTGGAAAAACACAATTGTTTTTGCACGAAATCAATTTGAAAACACGATTAAGAGGCACCGCTAGAATGAAAGGGGGACAACTCATATCGAGTTATACTTATAAAACCCAGGTTGTTTGTCTGTGTGTGTGTTCGTTTATATATGGGATCGGATTTCCTACATTTTTCAACCGATTTCAACAAAACTTCACTTGTTTTTGGCAGGTAGTGTTTCTTATTGTCTTGCACACTTTTTTTCTTTATTTTTACATTCAGAATGCTTTAAAAATTCCATTTACAAGACAATTGTTTATAATAAAATTATATTCAATCAGTAGACTCATAACGATTGAAAACAATGTTTTTGTTTGAGTTTGGGTTTGACCAATTTGTTAAAAAAAAACAAAAAAAAAAAACTAATTAAGACATGCGTGTCCGTCAACCTTAAACAATAATCTTTGTCAATTTTATTTTTCAGTCTTTATGATGGTCGATACTTGATCTATCTCTTACTGTTACATCCCCGGGCAACGCCGGGCTCTACTGCTAGTTTACAATAAATAACTCACTGCTTCGTGCTTTCCAGCTTGCTGGAAATTCTCCTCTGTAGTTCCTGTCCTTAATATATTGGGAGAATATTCTGACCCTGCGAATTATCAACCCTGTTTGTCTCTTAGCTCTTTTTGGCAAAGTTTTAAGTGTCTAATCAACCTTGAATTTGTTAAGCATGTGACTCCACACGGTCGCATTTCGGATAAACAATATTGCTTCGTTTTTTCAGGTTTACGCGAATGCGTTTACTCTAAACACTGAATTTCTCTATCAAATTTTAAATAAGAACTGCTCTAGATACTTAGAAATTGGACTTCTCCGCAAGTATCTCTCGGCGAATATTTCCTAACAAATCCTGTGCTGACGGACTTATTGAACGGACACTTCTAGTTATTTCACGTTAATGCGGGAGTCTACTAGGGCTCTATGCTTGGACATACGTTTTTCTTATCTGCATCAAAACCTTTCCGATATAATCTCTACTAAGTATTTAAGCTGATGATACGACTATTTGCTCTTGTTTTAGTCACAAGTCAGATAGGTTCGTTAAAAGAAAACTGGAAACTGCTCTCGAAACCTAGCTACTCCCGCGATAAGAAAAATAAATAATTAGTGAATAAAATTTCAGAGCTTAGTTGGAGCCATTATAAGTATAAAGTGGAAGTAGCCTTTAGAAGGAACAAGAAATCTAGTCCTCGATAAACTAAGATATGGACAACTGGATTAGAATAATAGTAATCGTGAGTTTAGTCACTGGGCCGGTTAATATAGATTTAACCTCATATTGTGAGACCGTAACATACCTACAACATTGGTTCTTCCAGGACTATATAAAGTAAGCGACATAACACTCTAGAGAGAGAAGAAGAGGAGGAGAGAGAGAGTATTCTAATACCGTAGTATCTCGTGTACGACTACCAATATTGGACACTAGCACATAGTAAGTTCCGCTTACACTTACACTATCCTTGTAACATTTTCGTTTAATATATCTTTCTTACCTCTAATCCGTGTTTTCCTTCCGTGGTCCCAACTTTGGGTCCAAATCACCTCAGTACAGACAGGCATAGTATCAACTGTAGTGCTAAAAAGTATTTAGTTTGATATTCCTTGAAGCTTATTCGGATTGACAAACTATCTGAATAAGGACAGATGTCATGATGGTTGAACCGTTCTGATAATAACACTTTTAAGACAATGAAGACTCTAAGCGGAATGCAACTAATAATGATAATGATACCAAAACATCCAGACAGAAATTACTTAAATTATAACCGCCATTTTTTTATGGTGCAGATAAAGTTGTATGAAAATGAAATATTTCTACAAAATACCGTCAATGTTTCATTATTTTGAATATGATTCCTTTTATTAAACAGGATTAATAAAGAAAATAACATTTAGCCAGAAGCGATAATTAAAAAGGATTTTACACGATGTCTTCTGTGGTGAAATATAATTCAAGTATTTTACACCAATTCATCTCATTTGAATTTGTCTAAACCGTCTGTCGGCTCTCTTTATCAAAGAACATACGGAAAAAATCACCGTAGGGACAAAAGGACAATCCAAATATACAAATTTTATATAAGAAAAAAAAAATGATTCAGAAACATAATTCATTCTGGATGAATTTAATACAAATAATTACAGTTTGCGTAGAAATGTCACCAATTGTTTTTCTCTCTTCCTGTCATAACATGAGAAAAAGTAGATCAATATGACTGACGATGTGACAAGCGACTTGCTTTTCAAGTTCGTCTCAGAGAGCTAAGCCTACACCAAATAGAACAAGTGTCTCTTCATAAGAAAGAAATGATGAAACTTGATTTTAGAAAATTGCATACTACACTTTATAGAGCCTTAGGAAAGGATTATCGGGTGCGGGATTATTTATTTTTATTATTAATACCACATTTTTATTTCAGGTTTTATGAATATACTAGCAGCTTGGCCCTGTGTTGCCCGTGCTTGATTCAAAAATCGTACGACTCATACAGCAATCGCTATCAATTGACTTAAAATATTTTTGCCCTTCCTCGCTTTGAAAGGAGAGCCCTTTGCCGTGCTGATGTTGCTACATGCCATACTTCTTGCCTATTTCACACTGCGAATTTTTTCGAAGCTGTATACTAAACATTAAATGTGTTACGAAAAAAGAACTAAACAAAATGAACACAAAACGATCAGCTTAAAAAAAGGACTCGTAACTGGAAAAACCGAATGAAAAAAGAATGTTAGCAACAAATACTTTTTCACAACCAACCCAGTTCTGCGGAATCAGAATCAGCGTTGAGTTTAAGCAAGGGAATGAGCCAATTGGAGTAAAGTACCATGCAGATTTAAATTCTTTCCCTCTTGTGACGAATGCAGCTATCGAATTTTTTTTGCATGCTAGCATGCTAGTTAACATTCGTGTCAGTCAGCTGTTGGCTCTCACGCTGGCCAATAGAATCTTCCTGCCTATTCGTGGCAGCCAGCTATAGGCTCTCACTCTGGCCAGTAAAAAATGCCGCAAACCACATGAAAACTGACGTAGAAGCATGAAAAAATCGATTATTTCCACTATCGATGGGAGTTGGGAAATGCAACGTCGGTCTTGGCCTTTCCGCTATATTGGAGCATGTGCATGTAAATTTTGGTTCAAATCAGTCGAAAATTGCGACCGTGCATTCGTTACACACATACACACTTTTATAGATAGAGATAAAAACGTATTTTTATATTTTCTTTTAATAATACCGGATTTTTATTATAAATACCAGATTTTTTTATTTACGTTTTTATAATTAATACCAGATTTATATATATATATATATATATATATATATATATATATATATATATATAATAACGGATTTTTTTTTTCTTTTTTAGTGATATCGGATGT